TGCTCCTCTGATGCTGCTTGGCCTGCTGTGTTCATCCAGCTCTACACCTTGTTATCTCAGATTCTCCAGCATCTGCAGTTCCGACTATCCCCCAAACTTCTTGAATGTTGTTGGAGCTGCAGACACCCAGGCTGGTGAGGAGTATTCCATTACACTCCTGATTTGTGCTATGTAGATGGTAGATAGGTTCTGGGGAGTCAGGAGGTTAGTTACTCGCCATGGTATTCCTAGCCTCTGATCTGCTCTTGTAACCATTGTATTTACATGGCAACTCCAATTGAGTTTGTGGTCAACAGTAACCCCTAGTGTGGTGATAGTGGGCGAGTCATCGATGGTAATTCCGTTGAATGTCAAGGGGCAGTGGTTAAATTGGCTGTTATTGGAGATGGTCGTTGCCTGTTATTTGTGTGGTGTGAATATTACTTGCCACTAAATGGAGACAGACACCCAATAGTGAGGGCAGGTAGGGGCCTCACATGATAAAGGAGGCACATGGTCACATAAGACAACATCCATGCCCTCAACAACTTCCCAGAGGTTCTGAAGAAGACTCACTGGACTCAAATCGTTAACCCCATTTTCTCTCCACAGATGGTGCCAGATCTGCTGAGTTTCTCCAGCAATTTATTTTTGTATCAAATTCCCAGCAGTCTTTCTTCTTAGACCGTTGATCCCACATATTTTTTTCAAATTCACTGTATGCTGCAGGCTCAAATTCCATTAAGTTCATGAATAATGACCACCTGTCCAGCTGGCATTGCTGAGTTTTCAGAGTTTCTAGCTCTTAAATGGGCAGCAGACAGTCTGCAGTAAAATTGCCAAGCAGATCCTGCTATCAGCAAGTGCAGCAGCGTGTCCTGCTTTTCTGATTTTGACATCCCACTCAGCTGATATAATTCAAACCATTGTATGGCTCTGGCCTTGATTATATATAACCAAATCAGCTTGCAACCAAGCACCTAAAGGCATGAGAGGGAAAGAGTGCAGAAAAGATTCACAAGGACAGTCGCAGGAACGTGGAATTCATTTAGGTGGATACTTTGGAGAAGCCAGGGCTGTGCTGCTAAAAATAAGAGTCGAGGAGATCACATGGTGATGTTGAAAATCATAGGGGAAAGGGGGCAGGGAGGGAGGCTGGGCTGTTTCATGTAAATGCGTTTTAATGCCTGCCAAAAACTAAAGTGAAAAGCTGTATAAATGGTGCAATGCCTGCACAGAAACAAAAACAGTGTCTTGTCATTCCAAAATCAGAGAATGGCAGCTGGGACAAACAAACCTAGATGCAAATGGTGAATGACAATAATCTTAGCAATTTTCCTCCTGGTACACCATTTCCTAACTTGCACTTGCAGCTGCTCTGAATATCCTGTGAAAGGAGAGGGAGGCAGATACTGCAATTTATTAGTTGTATCTACTGTTTAATCATCCAATGCAGCTTGCCTGATCTCTAAGGTGCGTGGTACTCCCGCACAACAAATGATGAATAATCTATACTTGGGGGAACAAAGGCTGTCATGGAAACGCGACATCAGTTACACCATCAGTTGCAAGTGGCTATCTTTGCCACCACCTTGTGTTTGCTACACACTTAAACAAGGTAAAGGTCACATGACCATGACAAGTCCACGAGGGACAAATGCCTTTGTCCATGGACAAAGAGCAGTTGAGAAAAACTGCTCCTATTAGGGGCAGGGATTAAAACCTGACTACCAATTGTAGGTAGCGGTTAGGATTCAGAACACAACCTTAGTGCAGTGGTGGCAGCGGATTGAAGGGTGGCTTTTAAAAAGAAATTAGATTATTTGCTGAAGAGAAAAGAAATGCAGGATTATGAAGAAAAGGCTAGGTGAATTGCTTTTACAGAGAGCTGACATGGACATTACAACTGGCCTCTTTCTGTGCCACAACCATTCCATGATATTTTTGAAATATGACAGAATTAGGTCTGTGCCATATCGTTTAGGACAATGTGGGTGCACAAGATAATGGCCTGGAACTTGCAGCAGTGGCAAAGCAACAGTGCTCGCTGGTGGCCTGGAAGGAAACCTCGCGGATTTTCAGCTACCTCTGTGGTGAGATTATAGAGGCGCTAGATAGGTAGGCTAACAGTAATGATGCAGAATAAGACCAGCAACCCTTGTTCAATCTAATGATGGATGATGTTGCACTAAAATCTAGTCACTTCCAAAAGTTGGTAAAAGCAAAAGAAAGATTGGAACATACTCTATAGATGAAGGTAAAAGTTTTAAATTTGTAGATAAGTAGATAATCTTAACACTGAAATTTAACACTTTGCCAAGATGAAACTCTGTTGATGGTCTGATCTGTTGGTCAGGAAGTAAAATCACAGTTGCACGTCGTTGCACATGAACAGGTATTTCTTAACAGTAATCTGAAACTGGAAAAAAGGGCAAGTTCTCATTGCAACCATTGTTTTCAATGATTGAATACTGATTATGGTGGATGAGAATGAGTTTTAAGTACATTCTGTATCAGCAGTGAGTGACATCAGATTGTCAGAATTGTCCAGTTCATCTGTGCTTGCATTAAATCTGGTGGTTGCAGTTAACTTCAGGGGGACAATTATGGCACAGGCCACTTGCCATCTAAACACCCCATTTGGCCCAAGATTCCAGGCCAATGTTTTGTGATCATTTTATCCTCAAAAAGACCAACAGAATCTCTGTTTGACATTTGATTTCTTGTCCCAGCTATCATCTTGCCCTTGGCCTGAAGTTGAACAAGAATGGTTGAATTACCAACAGGTTTGTGCTACAAGCAGGCATTAAGCAGAGTGATTTTCTTCAAAACATTTTAATTAAGACCCATTAAATATATTTTGTGGAGACTTTCATTAACTTATGAGAATGAATACAGGCAGACAAATAACATTTCTTTTGTCATTGACTTGCATTGTATTGATACGAAGATTGAAATGTATGCTTCTGAAATAGGTGGAGAGCCTTGCACCCCAGACTCTGAATTCAGCAACAGGGACAGTGTGCAGTTGGACAACCTACCTCCTCCTTATCTTGGACCATTCTGCGGCCGGGCCAGGGTCCATACAGATTTCACCCCAAGTCCGTATGATGTTGAGTCTTTAAAACTCAAGGTAAGACTGCACCTGACCTGCTGCTCTGTACAGCTCAATACTCAGGATGTTAACACTCACTAAGGTCATAATGCAAGAGAATACGTCAATGTCTCCGGACAATATAATAATGGGAAGGTTGTATCCAGCACACAGTTGATTAATCCTGTTGGTATACATTTAATATTTCACTAATTATTTACACAAATAATGTGAAACATAACAGATGATGAAGTGAAAAGTAATTTGAATAGGCTCACATTTTGGGAGCCAACATCACAAAGATAAGAAGAGGTTTTCTTCTCTAGCCTTGCTTTTTATTATACACCATTATAATCAGAATGATGTTTTATTAAAATAAATAATATATAGTGCAGGTTTTCCAACAGATCCCTGCTATAGTTAGGGCACACAAGCAGCAAAAGTTTCCAGGGGTATTTGAAACATTAGGTTACTCCTGGCCACGTTCATTAAGGGCCCTTTTCTCTTGGCAAACCCAACATCCTTCCATCTTTCCATCCTTCCACAGGCAGCTGCATAGTGGTCTTTTAAGGTGGGATATAGCCCAGATGTGCAACCTAGTTAATAAATGTTATTCATTGCCTTGATATCTGTCCTAACCAACAGATACAGCTGGGAACATTCTAATAAATAACATTGCAATTTGCAGAATCACATGTTTCAGACAATATACTTTGCCTAATGCACTAATACAGTCTGAGCTAATGTTCTCCTAACTAGAAGGATTATATAAGGGTTATGCAGTATCGTAAGTTGGAGATGCTAAACAGACATGGATCTTCTCAGATCACTGTGACACACCTCTGCTGTCCTTGAGTCAGCAATGATGGCAGGGTGACTAACAGACCTTTAAAAAGTAAAGCGGAAAGACAGAATTGGAAACAGTAAGCATTAAAAATGATCCTTGGAAGAATGTGTCAAACATCTTTACACGTCTTTACAACAAAAACTGATTTAGGAGTTTAATATAGTTCTTAGGGCTAAAAGGATTGGAGGATGTGGTGAAAGTGGGCACATGATATTGAGCCGAATGATCAATCATGTTCATACTAAAGGGCAGAGCAGGCTCAAACAGCCAAATGGCTTACTCTTGCCCTGTGCTGCAAGCTTGTGATTCGTTAACTGGAAACAGCAACGAAAAGGGCCATTGATGACTGAATACTAGACACTCACATGCTTTGGAGTTTAGTAGGGACAGGAGAGAGTGTGGGTAAAGTAGGGTGAAGCTAGTAATGGAAAATACTCAAATCCACAGGATTGTCAAATCAGCTATTGTAGTACGAGCTCACAGAGCAATGGTTGCTTTGTTGCCCCTCTGCTCATAACCTTCAGTTCATAATTGATGTTACTACGTTATCTGGGAAATTAATTCATACAGTGTCATGGGCTTGATTTCTTGATAGAGGTATTTTTCAAATCCTTCAAGAAGTCCCACAACCCAGGGATTAGCGATTGACAAAAGAATTAAAGGCAAGTACTGTTCTGAAAAGGGAAATAATGAATGAAAAAACCTTATTGAAAAATTCACAATTAGTCTAATAGTTCAAAACATTTAGAGCACGTGTCTCCCTGAAACTCTCTTGCATATCATCGTTTGCTGCCATGTGCCTTTCTGATGAAGCACAGATTAGAAAGCACCTAAGCAGAACAGTTTCAAACCTCCAACTTGCATTCCACTATTTTGGTAATCTAATTCAGAATCAAAGATTTAAAAAAAAGTTTGAAATATTGTCATTTAAAAACAGTCATAGGTGTGTAGATGAGGAAACAATAGACATCAATTGCAAGATTCTGAAACGGTACATGTGATCTTTGGGCTTTCAATTATCTAACCCATTTTCTCTTTACTAACAGAAAGGAGATATCATAGACATCATTGAGAAACCACCAGTAGGAACATGGACTGGCATGCTCAAAAACAAAGTAGGATCCTTTAAATTTATCTACGTCAATGTTCTACCAAATGAAGTAGAACAACCTAGGAAATCAAAGTTATTCACCAAGAACAAACGGCCTAAACCAAAGACTCTGCAAGAATTATTGGACAGAATTAACCTACAGGTGAGAGATATTAATATTTGTTCTTTCATAGGAATATGTAAAAGAGGACGTTTAATATTGAAGAGGGAGTGCAGGTGGAATTAAATTGGTTAAAAAGCATCGGCAGACCTGGAAACACACCTTAGACATGTTGACTTTATGGTTTAACTCAGGCACCTTTTGGTGTGTGTAACTCTCATCACTTAACTGGCATTCAAATTTAAACAGCACCCACACTGAAAAAAACCCAAGGAAAAGGGATGAAAGACAATTTAAAATTAGTCAGAGGTCGTCAAAAAAAATAGTCAGTCAGTGGTTATAATTGAATCAGTGATAGTAGGAACTGCAGATGCTAGAGAATCCGAGACAACAAAGGTGCAGGGCTGGATGAACACAGCAGGCCGAGCAGCATCAGAGGAGCAGAAAGGCTGATGTTTCAGGCCTAGACCCTTCATCAGAAAAGGGAGAGGGGAAGGGGGTTCTGAAATAAATAGAGAGAGAGTGGGAGGCGGATAGAAGATGGATAGAGAGGAGAGGATAGGTGGAGAGGAAACAAACAGGTCGAAGAGGCGGGGATGGAGCCAGTAAAGGTGAGTGTAGGTGGGGAGTTAGGGAGGGGATAGGTCAGTCCAGGGAGGACGGACAGGTCAAGGGGGCGGGATGAGGTTAGTAGGTAGGAGATGGGGGTGCGGCTTGAGGTGGGAGGAGGGGATAGGTGGGAGGAAGAACAGGTTAGGGAGGCGGGGACGAGCTGGGCTGGTTTGGGATGCAGTAGGGGGGAGATTTTGAAGCTTGTGAAATCCACATTGATACCATTGGGCTGCAGGGTTCCCAAGCGGAATATGAGTTGCTGTTCCTGCAACCTTCGGGTGGCATCGTTGTGGCACTGCAGGAGGCCCAGGATGGACATGTCGTCTGAGGAACGGGAGGGGGAGTTGAAATGGTTCGCGACTGGGAGGTGCAGTTGTTTATTGCGAACCGAGCGTAGGTGTTCTGCAAAGCGGTCCCCGAGCCTCCGCTTGGTTTCCCCGATTGTAGGGGAGGCCACACCGGGTACAGCGGATGCAGGTGAACATCTGCTTGATGTGGAAAGTCTTCTTGGGGCCTGGGATGGGGATCTTCTATCCGCCTCCCACTCTCTCCTATTTATTTCAGAACCCCCTTCCCCTCTCCCTTTTCTGATGAAGGGTCTCCGCCCGAAACATCAGCCTTTCTGCTCCTATGATGCTGCTTGGCCTGCTGTGTTCATCCAGCCCTGCACCTTGTTGTCTCAGTGGTTATAATTACTTTACCAACCACGGAGAAACAGTTTATTGAAAATGCTTATGGTCGAGAGGGTAACGCATGCTTTTTGGAATTATCAAGATTTAAGATTAGGATTTGTGGCACCATGGCTGCCTTCAATTGAACCTCAGATGAGTAAAAGGTGACCATCAGTTGTAATAAAAACTCACGAGAGAGACCTCTTGCTTATCAGCAGGGGGAGTAGTACTAGGCATGGAATAACAGCAGAGAGGATGGAAAATACAGGGGTTGAGATGACAGGAAACATTATCTGCTTAAACCAGGATGTACAAGAAGAATCACTGGACTCGAAGTGTTAACTTTCTCCCACAAATGCTGCCAGACATGCTGAGTTTCTCCAGCATTTTATGTTTTAGATTTCTAGCATCCACAGTAAGAAAAAGTCAGCTTTATCCCTCCGAGTACTGCTGGACCACCCAATTTGTCACATCAGGTGATAGTAGATCTTTGACTTCTGCTGAATTTGGTCCCAGCTCAGGAAAGTGGTGCAAAATAATGAAATTTGAAATTTTGCAACTTTGCATTTTACCAATCATACTGTAATTTTAAACACAGGTAGAAGAAAACCGAAGTAAATGTGCAATGTAAAACATTTGCCTTTTTAAAAAATTAAAACAAATAAAACAATAGCAAATGTTCAGCAGGCAATATCTTCACAAACTATACTTCCTGTAACATCCTTCAAATGTTTGAAAAATCATTCTGATTAGGCACGCAGAAACCAACTGATATAAAATGGGACATAAAAATAGAATCTGTGGGGGAAATGAGAATTTTTCACAAAATTACAACATCAATTGGGGACAAAGCTCAACTTAGTTATAAGAAAATTTGATATGTCTGAGAAGGCAAGTGTAAGTGTATGAAGTAAAAGTACAGAAAAAAGGAAGAAAGTGGGTTGCTGCAGTTTAAAAGAACTGATATTTCTTACATTAAATTCTACGAGTAATACATACAATAAGGAGAAAAAAAAATTGAGGGACGAGGGTGGAGGCAGTAGGGTAATTTAGGACAGGAGACCAGGAGAAATTAGTTACCTTTCTTTGAAGAGTAACATCTACCTGAAACACAAGAACTAACAGATTTAGGACTTCATTTAAAAAGACACACAGTCTTCAATAACAATGTCACATTGAGGGAATGCTGTGAAGTGTCAGTTTAAAATTATTTGCTGAAAACCTTTGTATGACTTGAATCCATAAGTGACAGCCGAAGTAATACTTTGGAGTATTTATATCCACGTTGTTGATTCATCTCATTGAAGAATGTTCTTGAACTCTCAAGATTACCATAGAGTACATTTATGACATTGAGAATTTAAATACAGTATGGGAATTAGGATGTAGAACTGCACAGCTGCTCACCACAATGTGAAACAGCCTACCTTCTAGGCTGTGACACTGTTTGCTTTCAGCAACTTGCAAGGATTCCTGCGAAATGGGCACTTTTTTTGTTCAGTCCTACATATGGAGTTTTGACCATTTTTCCCCAATGATCAGATTTGAAAAAATAAAATGTTGCCTTAAAAAGGTTGCTCTAAAACAGATGTACGTGATTGACAAATTTAAAAAGCAACAGATTGTTAAGTAGCTTATAAATTAGCTTTGATATTGCCTTCTCCAAATGCAAATAAGCAATTCACTCACTTTTAAGACAGACAGACAGAGGGGGAACAACCCCAGCAAAAAGTGTACAAGAAGTTGCAGGGGAGTTGTTTTATTTAAGTCCAGTATCACAACATATTATAATTCAAAAGCAAAGTACTTAGGATATTAAAATTCTGAAACAAGAAAGCTGGAAAAACCTCAACAGATCATTCTTTCACAAAGGTTTTGATCTTAATTGATTGGGAGAAAATTTCTGTTTACTCATTACCATATATTATTTAACAGTCCAAGGCATAATTATTTCAAAGACTAATTTAGGTACTTTTAAATGGTAATTTACTTCCATCGAATTAAGCCAAATATATTTGGATGCATGGTCTCGAGTGTCCTTTGATGTTAAAATCCTGTGGTTTTTTTTGCCTCTCTGTAAAAGGAGCATACCTCCACTCTGCTGCTTAATGGCTACCAGACTCTTGATGACTTCAAAGAGCTGAAAGAGACACATTTGAACGAACTCAATATTCTAGACCCTGAGCAAAGAGCCAAATTGCTGACGGCTGCCGAACTCCTCATGGACTATGACAGTAAGTGGGTTTCTTTGATTGTGGATGCAACACAAGCAGTTGAAGAGCCAAAAGCCATGGAACCCACATAACAGATCCTGAGCCCCCTTACGCAGTGTTACAGGGAGCTTTTAAGTTCTGCTTTATCTACATGTACATTAAACAATACCGACAACTGCTATTAAAGGATATCTTGCATGCCAGAGATATTTTGAAAATAACATTAACGGATCAGTTATCATTGGGAACAAATTTAAATAGTAGACCCACTAGTTCTTGTAGTCAAGTCGACACATCAACTAGTAAAATCTGACTAGATATTATGTCCATGGTATCAATTATATTCCCTTTTGGATAAAAGCTCACCAGGGAAGATAACAATAAAAATTAAATTTTAAATATGTAAAATGAAGCCTTTGTCTTCCATAAAAATTGAACATACAGAGTAATAGAGTCATACAGCACGGAAACAGACCCTTCAGTCCAATTCGTCCATGCTGAGCACATTTCCCAAACTAAACTAGTCCCACTTCCCTGCATTTGGCTTGAATCCATATCAATCTTTCCTGAGATAAAGACAGAGAACTGGAAAAACTCAGCAGTGAAGAGAGAAACAAAAATGTTAACAGAGTCTGACATGATTGTTCTTTAGAACACTACTTGTATTATATAACAAGGTTTAGAGCTGGATGAACACAGCAGGCCAGGCAGCATCAGAGGAGCAGGAAAGCTGACGTTTCGGGTCTGGACCCTTCTTCAGAAATGGGGGAGGCGATGATGGAAGGTGGATGCTAATGTGGTATATTGTATCCGCCATTCCCAATGTGGGCTCCTCTACATTGGGGAAACCAAGCGGAGGCTCGGAGACCGCGTGGTGGAACACCTACGCTCGGTTTGTGACAAACAACTACACCTCCCAGTCACAAACCACTTCAACTCCCCCCTCCCCCTCCTTGGATGACATGTCCATCCTGGGCCTCCTCCAGTGCCACAACGATGCCACCCGAAGGCTGGAAGAACAGCACCTCATATTTTGCTCGTGAACCCTGCAGCCCAATGGTCTCAATGTGGACTTCACAAGCTTCAAAATCTCCCCTCCTCCAACCTCATCCCAAGACCAGCCCTGCTTGTCCCTGCCTCCACGACCTGTCCATCTTTTCTCCCACCTATCTGCTCCTCCCACCTCACTGACCAACCCCCACCCCCACTTCCTACCTACACTGACCTTTACTGGCTCCATCCCCGCCTCCTTGGCCTGTCCATCTTCTCTCCACCTATCTGCTCCTCTATCCACCTTCTATCATCGCCTCCCCCTCTCTATTTCAGAGCCCCCTTCCCCTTCCCCATTTCTGAAGAAGGGTCCAGACCCAAAACGTCAGCTTTCCTGCTCCTCTGATGCTGCCTGGCCTGCTGTGTTCATCCAGCTCTACACCTTGTTATCTCAGACTCCAGCACCGGCAGTTCCTACCATCTCTCGCTACTTGTATTAAACCTATTTAGAACATCATGGTGCTCCCTGGTATCATCCTTGCTGCTGATTCAGAAGCACTTGATGCAAGTTCCACCTCAGGGTTTGATGGTCAAGAAAGATGTATTCATAGAGACAGAAAATAGGAGGAGGCCATTTGGCCCTTTGAGCATGCTGCACCATTCATGATCATAGCTAATAGTCTAATTCAATAACCTGTCCCTTGGGGAAGTAGATGTCTCAGTTAGCTGGGCAATTGATGTGAATCAGATTGGTGCCAACTGCATAGATTTTGATCTCTGTTCTAGCCTTATGGTGGGGGTGGGACAAAGGAGGAGATAATGATTTGGGAGCAACCTCCTTGCCCTACTCATGGTGGAAATCATACAAATTAAAGAGAAGTAGATCATTGGGCCACTCAAGCCTGCTCGGATAGTTAATTAAGATTGCGGCTGATTGCAATGTTACCTCAAGTTCATATTCCCATCTCTTCTTGATTAAATTTAATAAAGGGAGAAGTGGATAGCTTCTTGGGGCTGAAAGATAAAGATTCTACTTCCACTACCTTTTCAGGAAGACTGTTCCAAAGACACCATTCTGAGAAAGAAATTTACCGCACCTCTGTTGAACTGTGCAACCCCTTATGTTGAAGTAGTGGGGAGAGATCAGTCAGTAGAAGGATTCAAACCAAATAACGAAAAGGTTTTACATAGACTGCAGGTACTTAAAGTTGATAAGACACGGACACAAAATTTAATGCAGCCAAGGGTATTGAAGGAAGTGTGAATAGATATTACAATAGCACTGGTAATTTTCCTTTAATCTTCCCTGGACTCTAGTGATGTGCTAGGGAATAGCAAATCTGACCCCTTGTTCAAAAATGGTTGTAAGGTTAATCTCAGCAATTACAAACCAAAATCAACTTAATTTCAATACTCAAGAAACTTCTTGAAACAATTATATTAAAAATAGTATTAATAGTCATATGGAAAACAAATTAACTTGAAAGAGAAGGGATGAAATCCAAATGTGGATTTCTCAAACCCAGCTTATTGACACTCAGTCAATAAAATGTGGAGCTGGAGAAGCACAGCAGGTCAGACAGCACAGCAGCAGGAAAGTTGATGTTTCGGGTCTGGACCCTTCACCAGGAATGGGGAGGGGGAAAGGGAGCTCAGAAATGGGGGAAAGAGGGATGGGGCTGGGGGAAGGTAGGTAGGATGGTGATAGGTGGATGCAGTTAGGGGTGTTGTAGAGATTGGTCAGTGGGAAGGGTGGAGTGGATAGGTGGGAAGGAAGATGGACAGGTTGTGTCAGGTCAAGGACGTAGGGAATGAGAGGGAGGGCTGGACATGGGATGAGGCCAGGGGTGGGGAGATTTGGAAACTGCTGAACTCTATGTTGAGGCCATTGGGCTGCAAGTTCCCGAGGCGGAATATAAGGTGTTGTTCCTCCAGTTTACGTGTGGCCTCATTTTGACAGTGGGGCCAGCCCAGGATGGACATGTCGGCAGGGGAGTGGTTTGGTGGGGGCAGGGGGAGAAATAGAGTTGAAATGGCTGGCAACCAGAAGGTGGTGTTGTTTGGGGCATACAGAGCACAATCCCCAAGTTACTGACACTCAGAACCTAAAACAGACAGGGCTACTCAACTGCTGACTTCCTAGCAGCCTTAGTTCAAACAGGAACAAAAGAGCGAAATGGGTGGAGGGTGGAGGGTGGAGGGTGGAGGGTGGAGGGTGGAGGGTG